TCTCTTGTTAAATCTATTTCGAAAAGCCTTCACAAGAAAATGACTACTGTCATATGAAAAATTATAACCGTTAATTATTACAGTTTCTAGATACTTGTGTCGACTTTTGTGATTGTGAATGCGTAAATACGAAGTGGATAGAGTAGAATGAACAGAGCATCTTCACTCTTGCCCATACTTATACTGACTTTGGCAAAGACGTACATGAAACCCGATATCAATGCTACGATAGACGACTTTTGGATATTATCGACTCAACATAGCAGCCGTCTATTTGAGCTTCTAAGAGTATGAATAGTCTTCTGCTTAAGTAGTATTACACTTTATTCACTTGATGATGTGTAGAAAGGATCAACTGTCAATTTAAGAAAAAATTGCATCTTCATATTATTATTGAGTTAGCAATAGTATTTCAGCATTAGAAACGGGTGTGGGATGAGCATGCGTGGAGATGTGCAGTGTGTGGGTGAGGGATGAGTGTGAGTGTGGATTTGGATATATTTTCAACCCACACCCACACCCTGTTCTATTTGATCCTTTAAAATCTCAAAAGCTGATTTTTCATCAAAGTTGTTTATTAAATTTAATAAATTTGAATAATGTTGATTATCTCGTAGAGTATCTTTCCAGACTTCTAAAATTTTTAATTGTCTTTTATGAATATCTGTTAATATTTCAATTGAATAAATTTTTTCTTTAATATCAATATTATTCATAGATATTATAATACTTAATGCACATTGTAAATCAAATGTTTGTTCATATTCATAATATGGTAAATAGACTCCACTTATTAATTTTGAACAAAAATCTAAAAATTTCAAAGCAGCATATAAGGGATGTTCCGGAAATTCTGAAACAATTTTAAAATTTATCGTTCTCGCATTCTACAAAAGCAAATTTGTTCAAACTTTGGTAGATTGTTGTACATATATATTATTACATAACTATAAAGTTTGAGGTCTATAGGTTCTACTGTGGATGAGAAACTGTAACAATACTGACATGTACTATTTTTTAAATTTTCCTGGTCATCTTCGAGGTGTGCAACATTTTTTTATTACGTCTATATTTGGGCTTAGGTAAATGATAAAATCTTGAATTTTTCTTTAAAAAATGCGCCGTGAAAAGCTCTACAAATAGTGCAATAACAAATCCCTACTGACTTTCTATTAATGGTTTCTGCCATACTCAAAATGAAAAATCTGTATGGTAGTACTATTTCTCACCATATTATGCGTAATAAAAAAAGGTTTGGAAGACCTTTTTGCTTTCCAATAGGAATTTGCTTATATAGCTTTTGTAGAGCTTTCGACGGTGCATCTTTTGTAAAGGAAATCAAGACTTTATCATTTTCTCAAGCTTAGATACATGCAAAACAAAATGTTCTTCCAAACATTTTTTATTAAGCACAATATGGTGAGAAGTGGTACCATCATGTAGGTTTTTCATTTTGCGTATTGCAGAAACCATTAACAGAAGTCAATAGGGATTTGTTATTACAATTTTTGTAGAGCTTTTCACGGCGCAGCTTTTTAAAAAAAATTCAAGATTTTATCATCTACCTAAGCCGAAATACAGATATTTTGGTAGACTCGGGATACAGGAAAATTTTAAAAATAGTACATCATAGTGTTGTTACAGGTTCTCCTCTACAGTAGAACCTATAGATCTCAAACCTTGTGGTTATGTGGCACTACATATGTGCAATAATATGTAAAAGTTTCAAAGCGTTTGCATTTGTTGAATGCGTGAACGATAAATTTTAAAATCGTTTCAGAACTTCCGGAACATCCTTTATCATCCAATAATTCAAATAAATCAAGTAAGATTTCATTAGCTAAATCTTCAAGTTTCATCTTTTGATTTATTTCTGTCTCATGCAAAATAATAAAATATCTGAAGTATTTTTGATAAACAAAAAACATAAGTCACGTTTTCTTTTTCTTTCTCCTATTTCTATTCGTTTTTAGTTTGTGACGTAATTTGTTTTTCTTTGCCTTCCGTAACACTAAATACTAAATAATGAAAAAAAATGAATCTAGTCTTTAGCAGGAAAGTTATTGCGCTGCTCTTATGAAATTTTTGTAAATGTTCAGAGTAGATAAATATTTTA